GTCTTCTCCAACTACAAAAAAACAAGAACTCCACGATTAGCAAGTTAATTAAGAAAATGCAGCGAGAAAATGCGTCCAGCCAGAAAATAAAAAATAATCACACTGTTGAAAGGTTAAAGAACTCTTTCGATAAGCCAAAAGCAAATCTAGATATGAAAAGAAATGAACCTAAAATCATTGAATGTTAGCCACTCATGTAAGGTATATTGGTAGGTCGAACACGCTTGGTTCCGTCCCCCGACCTGGTGGTCCTGAAAAATAGTCAGACCCTAGTACTTCAGCTCTTATAGACAGACTTATAGAATTTTCTTTGCAAAAAAAATGCTTGACTGGGGCATATTTAGCATACTTTTAAAATGCAGGACATAGTAATAACAGATATCGTGATTCATATTTAGCATACTGTAAGAAATACAGCTTACATACTCTCATTTAAGGACAAACGATTCCAGCTTGGGTTCAATTAGCTAGATTATTCATATAGTCATTCTGAACCTATAATTAATTAAATTCAGGGATTTCATTTAAAATTCAAGCTATCAATGTGAGCACCAAATAAAGGGACAAAATGGCAACAATGAACACCAGAATACCCTTTTTAGAGAAGTGCACACATAATTCAACTTTGGGAGCAAAAGGTGTGACCCCCCACAAGTTATGTTTAAAAACTTAACTATATGCTAATGGAGCTCCTGAATCTTCGCTTGTTTTAAGCTCAAAATTAGCATATGTTTCAACAAATAGGGAGCTTTTATATACTCATACTCTCATAGTCTAGAGTTCCATATACAACTATTTTCTACGATGTCCTACTTGATTTAGAAGGAAAAAAATCTCTAGTACACAAAGTGAGCCATTCTTTTAAATACAATAACATTTTGTGGCGCGATGTTCTGCTTAAGTTCTGTTATGCCTATATTGTTTACCTTGTTAATCCTTATTTAGTTAAACTGGATTAGGTTCGGCTGCATTTATGTTAATGTTAGTTTTGATTTTCCACTGCATTTAAAGAAGTGAAGAAGAGCCTATAATCTCAACATACCTATAACCTTCTCATAGCTCACTTAAATTGGACACTATAGGATGTGCATAAAGAAAGTCATGTCATTCAATGAGTTCAGCTATTCTTTCTCTAAGTGTACTCCGTGATGTTCCGACAGAAAATGTACAATCTTTTTAATCTGCATTAATAACCAACACATTGTTCAAACTCCATGCAGCAGCCCTAATCGAAAATGGCATAACTTTACGACATACAGAGTGAACTATAATATTCCATAGTTGAAATTAATCACAACTCAACCCCCCCCCATCATTTTTCTACTTGAAGTTGTAATCAATCACAATAATAAAAGAAGCATTCATTGTAGAAAAGTGAGAAACTTTTTCTACCAAATTAATCCTAATCTTAACATTGTGGGAGCTATGGGAGTATCCATTTCCGCTACACACGAAACGATGGTAAGAAACTACTTATTCTGCTCATGTGTTGAACTATTATTACCAAACATAGCTAAAAATAGAGAATTTACATAATACATAATAACATTACTATAGTTATCATTCTTTACTTCCAGAGAAAATTAGCAGAACACTAACTGCCAAGTAATTTGTTTTTTTAAATAATAGTAAATATCTGAAAATAAAATAACCTGTAACAAATTATTGGTTTTGTTCATATTTCCAAGGCAAAAACATGTATTAAAAAATCGATGTTATGGACAAGGTTTTTTATCCTTGACTTAAGTACCACTTTCCAGGTTCTAGACATAGCCTGATACTTTAAGAGGAAAAAATTGAACCAGCTCTTAAAGAGTACACAAAATATGATGTAAAAGATATTTCTAATAAGAGTGTATGATCTCACCTTCCCATCTTTCCTTGTGCACGCCTTGAACCATTGCAGCAAACACTGGAGTGTTGAGTTACTTGTTAGGAGTATTAGGATCACCAATCACCACAAGCTATAGCCCTCATATTGCCCGGCCAAGAACACCATTTTCATCTTTAATTGGATTCACTGACTGAAGTACCTTAAGTCTGTGTGCAATGAATAAAATCTAGTACTTGGCAGACATAAAATTCTACCTCTATAGAAGTAAAGCAAACAAGAAGTAGAACCCAACCAAATGTTCAACACACATCAAAGAATCAACCAAGGTTATCATAATGAACCAGATTTGCTTAAAATGATTAAATCAAATCACCAAATCCAACCGTTTGGTCGTGTGGAAATCATGTAATGATTATTATGTTATTATTCCATAGCTATTAAATGTTGACATTTAGGTACAGAGGTTGGTTCATACTTAAAGAGAGCTTGTTCAAATAGAAAAAGGTTCTTTTTTGTATGTATGCATAAAAATATATACAACTACAATATATATATAAACATTGACTGAATCATGAAAGTATGAAAATACCCGTTACTAATAGAGTAATATATGTCTTATTAAGATATATAGTCATATAAGTAATCTTGTAAAATATCATATATGTTACCTAGCAAATAAATTTACTATTTAAGGCATTGTCTAAGCCAGGTGTGGAGCGCTAGCACCAATTTTCTGGTTTGGGTAGGTTCTTAGTCCCATCTAAAATTAACTAATCTACTGTATGTTTGAATGCTCTCAACCTAAGGAGACATTGAGTAATGTGAAGAGGTTAGACCATCATAAACCACATGCCTTTTATGCTTTAAGAATTTAAAAATAAATTAAACCCTTATATCCTCGTTATTGAATCATTGATTCCAATTTCGAAGAATCAAAGCCACTCATAACTGAAGAACCAATGGTTTTCTTGGACCTAAACACAATTGGATTACCAACACAAACAAATAGAGGGACACGATAGCAATCAAAAATCACTTTGCTCTAAAACACTAGTTTTCCTCCAATTCTACTGAAGTATTGGTGTGGAAATAAAAACTGAAATCACAAGGTTTTTAGTTCCATAGTTGTTGTTGCTGCCCGTCTCAGTCATTTCTATATAAGATTTACAAGTTTTTGAATGTTTTCAAGCACGTTAATTTTAAGTTCCACAACTACTGTGGAGGACAACTAAAAAACAAAGGAAGATGTGTTGCGATCAACAACCATTACAATTATGGTGAATCAAAGAAGATCGAAATTAAAAAAATGAATTGGTACAAGTTTGAGAATGTAAATGACTAACATCAAGGAAAGGAGCAAGAAATGAGATATTTCTTTTGGCACTCTCAACAACCTGATTTCAAACCCGAAGACTTATCAAGCCCTCTTCGGTTCCCGAGTCCCAACTGTTGCAGAGGAGCGCCTGCAAATGAAGGAAGTGTTATAAATTAATTACGAGCTTCAGTTAGGATGAAGATAAACATGAATTTGACAACTCCTCCTACGGCTGTAAGAGTGGAGAAAACATGAAGGGTAGTAAGAAACCCATCATTGTCTAGTTTGACTTTAAATTCCAACATTCTGAATTATCCTAAGAATAAAAATTGGAGTAACAAATCAATCTAAACAGTAAAAACTTATGAAATATCATAAAATTGCAATCAGGTTAATACTATGTTCATATGGTTTATTAATTCATGAAAAATTGAGACTAGGGTTTTATAAAGCCTAATTTTTAAGGCATCTCCGTCATTTAATAAGGCATGATGAATTTTAGCAGAGTGAGAGACGAGAACGGAGTACCTCAATACTTGCCATCTCCGGCAATTCATCACCTCGGAGTCCAATAGTCCAAAGCAGAAGGAGAGGAAAGATGGGGCGGCTAGTCGACAGGAGCCGAGGCCCAAGGAGGCAATACACTGCTTCGCCGCTTCCACCAGTGTTGTGGCGATTATTGAGACGACGGCGGAGCAGGCAAGGACCACGTGTGTGTTAAACCGAAGACGCAGTTCCAAACCAGGTACGAGGCAAAGCGGCAGAGGACATTCGATGTGCGGTGTGTACGGTGAATGGAATGGAAGAACAAGAGTCGTAGCTTGGCCGCCACCCACAACCTCTCACTCGTTCAGTCGGATGAAAAAGGGGAAGAGTACTGTAGTTGTTCTTGAAATCTGTAATCGAACAGAGGGATTGAGGAAAGAATTAGAAATTAAAAAATAAACAAGTCATTAAACGGAGTGTGGTTCGAGGTTCATCTCCGTTAACGGAAACTACGAAAGAAGAGAATTAAGGGGCTGTTTTGCAATTTTAAAAAAAAATAGTAGGAGACCATTTGACTAGATGATGTGGAGATTAGTAGCACACATGTCAACCTTGGGAAGGTGATGCATTGGTGCCCTCTAAAATGGGGTGGCATCAGAGAAATCCCCATAACTTAATCATTTATGTACAACTGTAGTATTAATTATCAATATACATAGTATTTTATTACAATCTTTATTTTTATAAAAGAAAAAGATGAAACCCACATTGGTCATGTGTTTTTCCTCATTAAATTTTTATGAACTATTTGAGAAACATATACTACCTCCGTTCTCTTTTAAATGCAACGTTGGACTTTTTGCACTATTCACATGTTCTACTTTGACTACGTTTTATTTATTAATGTAATAATATATATTTTTGAAAAAAATATTGTTAAATTTTTGTCATTATAAATTTTCAAAATCTATTTTTTAAACTTTTTTTACTAATCGGGAATTATAGATATTAATGGTCAAAGTTGTGCCTCGGCAAATGTGAAATATTGACTGTTGCATTTATTTAAGAACGGAGGAAGTATATTCGGAAAAACTGAGCATGTATAATTAGAGAGTTTCTAAAAAAATTTAGGGAATTTCAAATTTTTTATTGATTAAATAATACAGAGTATATAGAATTTAAGATTCATTTTTAGCTCTATTATCTTATCAATTTACACATAAATATTCATGTCAGTTTCGACCTCTAAGTAGTTATAGGCCCTCCACCTTCATCGCATTCGCATCTCATCATATCCTCACACAATTGAACTAATTACTTACCCGATAATATCGCGTGACGAGCATTCATATGTAGGTGTGCATATATGTCTGTTTGTCCAGCGTGATTGAGTTTCCTAATGTTTGGAAGCTCATCTTATGAGCTTTTCGAACACACACACATACACATTAGAATTCATCTTATCTTTAATTAATTTGTTCTTCGATCTTAGTCGTAAGCTAGCATATTAAATAATTATTATACTACATACGTGTGTATATATATATATATATAGCGTGCCTAGCTAGCGTTTTCGGCCCGCACGCACGGTCCATCGATCAATTATATATATTCAATATATCAGAGGAGCTGAGGCCGGCGGTGGTAGCGCGCATATATAGTATGGCGGCGGCGGCGTTGTTAATGTTGACAAGGAAGCGACACATTTGCGCATTGTTGTTGCTGCTGCTAGCAGCGTGTGGTGCTCCCACATTGCGGGCGGACATCGCTGAATACGATGACTACTTGAAGAAGAAAGCCGAGGAAGCCTTCCATTCCTCCCTCCAGGCTTACTATGCCGACCCCGAACAAGTCACCGATCATTTCAATGCCGAAGTTGGGGAGTATGTATATATAGTAACTCGTTCAATTAATACTTATTAGCTTGTACTATACATTAAATATAATGAAACGAACGTGCACATTAATTAATTAATACTCCGATCCATGCAAGAAAGAATTACATGCATGCATGAATACTAGCTACGTATATATTGTTCCTACCCTGGCCTAGCCACATGTTTGAATTGATCGAATGATTAGTAGTTGGTAGGTTTAGCTTTACATGCATGCATGGATGTGAAATGAAGATGGATTATTTGGTCAAAGTTTAATTTGGAGGACGTACGTACGGTTTTAATTAATTAAATGATGGAATTGATGCAGCACGATAAAAAACTTGACCGGGAAGATGAGAAGGAAGCTTAAGGAAGGTGGCGGGGGCGCGTGCCAGGCAACGAATCCTATTGACAGGTGCTGGAGGTGTGATCCGAATTGGAGCATGAACAGGAAGAGGTTAGCCGAGTGCGCGAGGGGGTTCGGGCACGGGACGGTGGGTGGAAAAGAGGGTGAGATTTACACCGTGACGGATGCCTCAGACGATGACGTGGAAGAGCCAAAGCCGGGCACGCTCCGGCACGCCGTGATTCAGGAAGAGCCGTTGTGGATCATCTTCGCCAAGTCGATGGTGATCACCCTGAAGCAAGAGCTGATGATAAACCACGACAAGACCATCGACGGGCGCGGGGCGTCGGTGCACATCGCGTATGGCGCGGGGCTGACAATCCAGTTCGTCCAGAATGTGATCATCCACAACATCCGCATCCATCACATCCTGCCCAAACCGGGCGGCCTGGTGAGGGACTCCGTGTCCCACATCGGCCTCAGAACCATGAGCGATGGAGACGCCATCTCCATCTACGGTTCCAACCATGTGTGGATCGACCATGTCAGCATGGCCAAATGCAGTGATGGTCTCATTGATGCCATCATGGCTTCCACTGCCATCACTATTTCTAATTGCAAGTTCAATCACCATAATGACGTACGTATAATACCCGAACCTCAAATTAAATGCTCGTACGTACGTGTGCATGCATGCATGTACGTTTAGCTTAATTAATTAGCTAATTAATTAATACTAGCTATACATACACCTACAGGTGATGTTATTAGGGGCGAGTGATTCATTCTCTGAAGACTCGGTAATGCAAGTGACAGTAGCATTCAATCGGTTCGGGAGGGGGCTGATCCAGAGGATGCCGAGGTGCCGATGGGGGTTCTTCCACGTGGTGAACAATGACTATGCTCAGTGGGAGATGTACGCGATCGGCGGGAGCTCGAGCCCCACGATAGTGAGCCAGGGCAACCGCTTCAAGGCCTCCGACAACCCTTTCACCAAGGAAGTGACCAAGAGAGACTACGCTCCCCAGGCCCAGTGGAGTCACTGGCAGTGGAGATCAGAGGGCGACTTGTTCTTGAATGGGGCATACTTTGTTGAATCCGGGCAGGAGTTGAAGCGCACCCCATTGACCAAGAGCAGCCAAATCAAGTACAAGCCTGGATCTTACGTCGGACGCCTTACCCGCAAGGCTGGTATGATCAGATGCAAGCTCCACACACCTTGCTAGCTAATTTATTAACTACTATACACATGCTGTACTCATTTTATTCCATATGCCCCCATCAAGCTAAGCTTGCTTTACATGTAGCTAGTGTTGGATATACCCATATATATATATATATATATGACCAACACACACTCACCTACACATATATGACCAATTGAATGAACCTAACATTGTATTTTGTTTTCATCTACTTTTCCTAGCTATTTATTTTGCTTTGCTTGGATTTACTGCACAAAACACACCACTTATACTTCACTTTTTTTACTTGTCACATTTCCAGATTCACATTTTCCCGTGCACAACTCTCACCAATAATGCATTTAATTACTCCCGTCGTCCCACAATTAAGTTCACGGTTTGACTTTGAGTCAAACTTTGTTTACTTTGACCATTAATTATTCAAAAATCGTATTATTTTACCATACCAAAATAATTTTGAATACTTCATTTTAATATATACTATTGAAATGTTAGCTTATTATAAGTTTTATTAGTGTATATTTTTATATATCAATAGTCAAAACGTCGATGTTGGAGACTATGAAAGTCCAACTGTGAACTTAATTAAGGGATGGGGGTAGTATTTATTATTGAAAAATAAAAATAAAAACCAGTTTTTGAAAAACTAAAATGATTGTACTCAAAGTAGTAGCTAGACTATGTGGAGAGTGTATGAAATTATAAATGTTGCAATTATTTAACAACAAAGGTAATGTATCTGTGTGTCTACGTAATGAGTATTAAATTAGCTAAATTAAAGCTCTTGTTTTTTTTACTCCAAGGGGTCCGGGGGAGGGGATCAGGGCTGAAACTCACTCCATTGAGTTTCGAACCCTTATGTGCCTAGCGGGTTTCGAACTCTTAAGAGCTAAATTAAAGCTCTTCTAGACGATATACACATAAGGTTACAACTCAATCTAATGCACTTAATGTTTGTATATTGCACTTTTTGAACTTTGGTCCAACCATGTCAACATTATACTCGATCTATAGTAATCAAAACAAATGCAATGACATTTTGGTAAATAAATTAAAGTTTTATGCAAACTCGGAAAAGCGCAACACAGAAACTAAATAGTTTATCACATTGGGGGGAAGTAAAAAAAGCCTTCACAGTTTTCAAAGGAAACATTGATTGGGCTTAACTTGCAAGTATACAAGTGCCGATTGTAGTAGATATAATCACCGGTAAAATAGTGGGTTACGTTGATCCACGGGGAAGCGTTGTTTTATAAAGACCAAGTTTTGAGAACTAAAATAGAAGTAAGTGCATGAATTTTGTTGTTGTTGAATGTATGAATGCGATAAAATGATCAAGGCGTCCGAATCCACCTAAACAATAACTAGAGTTTAATATATTTGGTTTGTCAATTCTTGTGACTCCTTTTTCTTTGCTTTTGATCATATTTCACGTTTTCTTCACATATTGGGTTTTTACATACCCTTGTCCCTCTCTTTTTGCAATATAGATTATTATAATTACTTCTATAAGATATAGGTAATTATATATTAGAAAGAAATGACAAATGAACCTGGACAAAGGCCTTAGCCTTAGCCATAATAATTACTTCAGAAACACATTGTCTCCTCCAATTTTTTATCATGTGAATGAAGAATTTCCTTAGCAATAATATGTGATCAGGAATGAGTGAATGACTATGTTTTTCCACAAAATTGGCTTGTTCCAATGAAATATGTAGGACAATGATATGTAGAATTATGAAACTAAACCTAGAAGAAATTATACAGGTGCAAACCTTGCTAAAAAGGATTAAAAGTACTACTCATTCCAATAAGATGCACATTCTTTTAAGGATCTCGTATATTAAAGAAGTCCATAATTACAGGTGCTTGTATGAGGGTAGTCATATTTGGGTGACCTTATGGAATTTCTTCTCATTCCACACCATGTATAGTTACTACCGTGCACCGGAAAATCAACTAGTTCACACCAAGCAATACAAGAGCAAAAATATTCCATATCCCCATAGTTAGGAAGATTTGGCCCTTTAATTATGCTCAGTTGTGGCTGGAATAACATTGAAATCACCACATAAACGCCAATGATCAAAATTGTGTTAAACCAAAACTTTAAGGAGTCCCAAATAGCAGTTCTCTTCTTACGTGTAAATTTACCATAATGTTATCACAATATAATGCATGCAAACCCGACTATCATATGAGATAAACACGTTTCCAACAATCAAATGATGAAGAGATTCGAATAGAGAAGAGAAGAAACTTTGATTCAATACCAAAATAATATCGAACGTACAAGGCAAGGTATGAATCACAATTGCTTTACTTCTCTCATTGGAATGTATGAATGCCTATTATACTACCTCTTTGATTCTTTTTCTTACAATTCTTAGGGTTTACGTAAGTTAGCCCTCCTTTTAGGAATGTATGAATGCCGTTAAGAACTTTCCAAAAAACATTGTCAATCATCCGAGGTCAAATTCCAAGGTCATCTTCCAAAGTCAAACCCAAAGGTCAAAGCTAGTCAAAGCTACACTCTAAAAGTCCAGAAACTTGCAGATAATTCAATCAATCTCACATCAACGATCCTTATCCAACCATCAACGATGGATGCCTCCTCTACCTCATCAACATTGTGAAATTACCAATGTGTTGAATTGTCAAATGATGAGTTCGAGGCGATTTCTTCTAATTCAAATTTCATGAATCAAATACGTTCTTAACAAGATTAAATCTCTTTCTTGAGTGATGAACGTATATTTACTAAGGAAATAGAAGCCCGTCTAGCTAATAATGAAAGTTTCCTCAAACTTCACTTAATCGAGCAATCTAAACTCATGATTCGTTTAACAAATGTACAGAATGAGCACACTAATTGATCTTAAGTTTAAATTAGAAATCTCAGAAGCACGAGTGTGTGACTTAACTAAGGAATTGAAAGCTTCTAAACTTGTGTGTATCACAACATAAACCTCTTTTGAACATCTTCAAAAGGAACGTTTCAAATTATTTTCTAAGATCAAAGAGTTGGAGGACTTACATGCTAATAAAGGTCAAACAGATCAAAACATTTTCTTAAACCAGCCGAGAGACATCGGTTTCTACAACCTCAGGGAAGGCTTAGGTTCCCAAAACTCATGCAACTTGAAGAAAATCAACTGTGCTCAACTGCATGACATTAGATACATGGGCTTGGGTTTGACAAAATTTATTTCCTTCGTAGGAGCGTCAGAAATTGATGTCGAGGAAAAAAGGAAAGAGAGAAAATATTAGGGCTGGGACTTTGGAACCAAGAACCGGAGAACCGAACCGGACCGAACCGTTATGACCCGGTTCGGTTCGGTTCCAACATTTATTAGTTATTTTTTAACGGTTCGGTTCCTATTTTTTATTAATGGTTCGGTTCTTGGTTCCTGAAAAAAATATGTACTAGGAACCGTTAAGGAACCGTTATATATAATAATTAAAATTATATATATTTCTTATGAGTATATATATTTTTATGTATATTTACTTACTAATTTTTATATTACATTCATTATTTTAGTTTAGTTATTCAACTATTTAAAACTATTTTTCACTTCCACCGGTTCTCTTAGGCTTCTTAGGCCTCTCATTAGGTCAGAACTCCAGCGGGTCGGAACTTTGAAGGTCCAAAGTATTTAAAATTATTATTCTATTTAACTGTTTAAGCATATTTGTATCGTAATTTCAAACGTAGAATGTCTTTTTGGCAAAAATTTAGTCATGATTTGTAAGAATTTTTTCGAAGACTAGGAACCGTTAAATGACAAGAACCGAACCGTTAAGAACGGTTCGGTTCCTTATCGGTTCTATAAAATAATTTATAAGAACCGAACCGTTAGTAAAATTTCATATTTTCAAACGGTTCCACATATTTGGCCTAGGAACCGAACCGGTCCCAGGCCTAGAAAATATTTCTGAGGCTGAGTGACAACACTAAAGTCGTTGTGTGTGTCAAAATAAAATACAATACTCGCACTAATACCGTAGTATAGCTTAGTAAGGTTCGTATCCGCAGGGAAAAAATACTCTTCTTTATATTGAAACTAGTAAATAAAAAGGGGGGGTTTGGGATTGAGTGATTTAATTTAATTAAACACTAAGATGAATGACTTATATGATTTTAATTAATTAATGGGATAAAAGACTTGGCTTTGTTACTTTCCACTTGTTGATATGTTTATTGATCCTTGTTATATCTATAACTTATCCCCTCTCGAATACTCAATCGAGGAGTATCTCCAATTCATCGAGGGTAGTTATTAACAATGACCGTTCATTAATAACCCTTACTATTAGTCAAATATAGAACACCGCCATATACCGACTTGATAGTAGCATTTAATCTCTTAACTCCTTGATGAAATCAATTGAGATTGATAACCTCAACACAACGGTTTCGGTTTAACCAACATAATTAATCCCTCCTAAAATTATTAACCATAACCGTGCATTAATAACCCGAAGTTACTTACTTGTGAAACCATCAATGATTAACCATCGGTTCATTGATCGTTTCTAGTAGTAATTAATGTCGAGATGTTAACTAATTGTCATCTTAGCAACACTCCCCAACATTAATATAGAGATAGATTAATGGAAGAATTAATATTCAAGCGAAGAAGTAAGAATATAACTCACAACTTTAACATCCAACAAGCTCCAAGAGCAAAACCAAGAAATGGAAGTTTTGTCACGCCCCAGACCACAATCTAAGCGCGTGTACAACCGCCGCATAATCAAGTGACATCACTCACAAGTCAACCTCACTTAATCATACAAGGCGTTCGATAAAATAATCCATCCATACTTAGTAGTAAACATACATAACAACATCACATTAAAACCAATGAATAGCGGAAATATTCAACGGTAGTTTGTAATAAGTAAAATATCTATGAGCAATGTTTTGTAGTTTGAAAGAAAATAAGGAAGCACGAACCACATCTTCCTTGAATTGATACCACCCGTGGAAAGGTACAAGTAGCAAGCCCTAACTTCAACCTGAAAATGGTGGGGGCCTCCCGAAGGGGTCAGTACAAGTACCGAGCGAGTAGCAGGCTAAATGTAGAATAACTAGCGTTTCAAGTATAAGACTCAAACATAGGGTGATACTTACATACATAGTCCTTTTCCCCCAAGTGATGAAATACTTATTAATATATATACACTTGGAAAATAATACTTGATCCGTAGATCACCGTTTTATTTAGGAAAAATAGTAATAGTCACTATCCTTGACTAAAAAACCCAGCCCACCCATATACCTATGAGTGTATAAGACTCCTCTTTGTCCATAATTCAATATCAAAATCTATGAGTTTTGAGGATAACATAATCCTTGGGTACTCCAATTCGTGATCCGAGTTTTGAGGACGTTTAGTCCTTGGGTTCTCCACCGTTATACATATGAGTTTTGAGGACTCTTTAGTCCTTGGGTCCTCCACCATTATACTTATGAGTTTTGAGGACTTTTTAGTCCTTGGGTCCTCCACCATTATACTTATGAGTTTTGAGGACTCTTTAGTCCTTGGGTCCTCCACCATTTATATTCCTATGATCAACCTCATATAAACCTAGATAGAGTCTATATCATATTCATTTATTCAAGGCTAAATCAATTCATAAAGCCTATACATATATCATTTCATGCAAAGCCATGCATATACATCAATTTATAATTATTTAATACCAACCTGTGTTGGTTACCCCGTTATCAACCGGTCAACGTTTTCGTTGACCCGCCGTTTAAATTCTTATTCATATTAACTTAATCACCATGTGAATTAAGGTAATATCATTTATATTATGCCTCTTTCACATTCCAAAAATAGCATATATTTTCATAGAAATCTCATATCATATTCCATGCACATTCAAGTGATTCATTTCATACAAGCCTAATCATTTTGGCTAATCACATGTTTAAATATCTTTTAAACATCATTATGAATACATATAACATTTATTTAGGTAATCTCATAGTTAACTCAAAAGTTATAAGACATTAAGCCGTCCACTCACCTCGAATTAGCGCTGTGAAGTTCTACCCTCCTCGGTTGAACTCCGGCGAAACTCCGACGACTTTTGACGAACTCCGACGACTTTTGACGAACTCCGACGACACTTTCAACTTCGTGAAAGCTCTTGAAATACCTTTTACAAGTTCCTAACAAGGTTTTATAATCATAAAAGGTTATTTTCTGGCGAACCGGTCATTTTGGCTCCTAAGTCCGTTCTTAGACTTAGAACCACCTTCCAACCCCTTGTTCTACATTTATCAATATGTAGAATAATCCTAGGGTTCTTTATATTTTCTCAAATGATAATATATTCAAGAAAAAGAGAAGGAAAAGGTAGATGAGTCATTACCTAGCTTTTCCCTCACTTTTAGCACTTTAACTCTCTTCCTTAAGCTTCTTTCTTGTTGAGCTCCCTTCAACAATGGAGAAAGAGAGATGGAGGATATTTTCCTCTTGCTTGGTGTGTGCTGGCCAAGATATGAGGGGGAGAAAGAGGGGAGGATGGCCTTTTTGTCTCATTGAACAAATGAGTGAGGTAAGGGTCCCTTTGGTGTACCTTTGATGCCAAATGCATCTCCTCCACATTTCCTTTGTCAACTCAGCCCCCATTTGATTTGTTCAGAACACAAAAACGTGGGGTGACCACCACTCATGTGGGAGGTCATCCCAACTTGTCCCGAATTGTACATTCGGCCCCGAAAGTTGTATTTCTCGGACTGTTTTAATTATATTTTATTTTATGGGGCCAAATAAAATATATTACTTACTCTCAATCATAACAGCCCTTTGAAATAATATATATTTCAAAACTTTAATTTAGAAGTCTCCGAAATTCATTTTCGGGCTGTTATCTGATAAATTGTTGGTACTGGTAATTGGGCCGCTTTTGACCAACCGGTCAACCCTGGGCCTTTCTATGGACCAAATAAAATATGCACCACCATATAATTATTATCTATACCAAGATGAATAAAATATATGGTTTCGGGATCATCGGGTGGCCCCCGCTCCCGATGTGGGTCCCACATGCAATTTACTATTCACGCGAAAGAAATAATAAAAATTCATTACGTAAATTCATTAACCATTCCATAAGGTTCATTACATTATTTACTTAAAAGTAAATACATTTGGGGACGGTGTTAAATTACAAGTTTAGCTCCTCATTTGGAGACTAAACATGCTAGAAAAATATAAAGAAAATACTATTCTAAGTTGGGCTTAATTATATGGAAGAAGAGATGATTAAAAGTGAAGGAAAAGTGTACTATTTATAGGTATTTTCAACACCTTTGGCCGGATACCCGACCGGGTAAAGTACTATACCCGACCGGGTATCAATCAAAATCAAATATTTGTCCACGATGTTGTGTTTTCAGCACGTCTTTTTTTTCCGGGTCACTTCATACCCGACCGGGTAAAGTACCATACCTGATCGAGTATGTGTGTAATTTCGAAGCAGGTTCCTTTTTCAACTCATACCCGACCGGGTAACAATTATACCCGATCGGGTAAGTCACCAAATCACATTTTTTGCATGATTTCTTGCTCCCTTGCACCTTCCTTTGATCTTGTAAGATATCTTCCATGCTCCTTTGTTATAGACTAATTTATTGAAGCTCAAAATCTTCTAAAACTAATAAATTACAATAAACTAAGAAACATAAAGTATTACAAAAGTGTGTTATTTCCTAAACAACAATAAATAAAACTAGTTAAAATTACAAACATAAACAATAACAATTTTATACTATCACTGAGATTTCGTTTGACTACACTAATCTGAATGCTAGTTACACGACTAGGGAAATTCCTCTGTCCGATGACTATGTGTCACTTTTTTCCAGCAAGTGAGTCTGAGTCTGTGTCTGCACGGAAAGAACAATATGTTTTTGAAAACCCCAAAACTAATGCTGTTTACATTCCAAAGAACATTCACAAAATTGTAGACCTTCATAGATCTTTGGAAACAGAAGAGAAGTTTTCAAAACAGAAAAACAACGATTTTTAAATGAGATTTCTATTCTAAAAAATGCCTTAAGTACATACACAACCTCTATTGGTAATTTGTTTAGATTAGACACCGACATTACCAACATTCTCTATTGGTAATTTGTTTAGATTAGACACTAATTGTATTAAGTCTAATCTAAACAATAACGGTTTTCAATTATAGAACACCGCCATGTAAGTGAATGTTAATGTTTGTTGCTCAAAATAGTCTAATCTAAACAAATTACAACTAACTAGAAAAATACATGTTTGCAATGTACATGTGCAATTACTACAACAACACACAATAACAACCAATAAAAATTGAAAACATGTATAATGAAAAATCCACACTATTAAACTGTCTCATGCTTAGTTTCTTTAATAAAATCAAAGTCCTCAAATAGTTAAACAAAAAGGAACAATCGAAAGAAACCAATGATGTTTTAATGAGTTATAAAGAGTTACAAATTGTGAAAGTTATACCCATACACGGTAAACTTTGGCTTCTTGGGTTTAGCTGCCTTCTATGCTTTTCCTGGAGTTTTCCAGGTCTCTTTATTTCTCCATTGGGTTGCTTAAACTGAATCAAGTTCCTTCAAAATAAAATTTCTTCTCATGTCTCTCATTTTGCCTAGGAGTTTTTTTCGATTTTTCATCCTAACTTCTCTTTTCTTTTTCTTTCTCCCTGACTCACTAATTGTTTTTAGCTCTTTTTTTCTTTGATTGTAAATTCGGATTTTCAACGTATCTATCATTTCATTTCTTTTTTGAGTAAAACTCAAGAAGAGAATACAAGTTACATGGTGGGAAATAAGTGATCCCCCCTGCTTGATCCTCCCCCTGTCCCTAGAGAAGTATAATGTATACGAGTATAACTATGTTATATATATTTTGGTGCAATGTTTTTCAATAATTTCTTTAACTGACTTCCCGATCAAATTTGGGATCATCAAATTTTTAGCTGAAATCTTGTGAACATAATCTACACTTCATGTAGAACACGATCAGAAAATTTTATCAAAAACTCCACCATGAACCATCTCAAATTGCGACAGACGGATGGCGGTTCCGGTCAGGAATTGAAATCTTGACCGGAAGATTACTCTATATATAGACAAAATCCATTCACTTATAACTCCAACTATACTAATAGTAAACCATATCCCACTACATACTCTATTGGTTTATTGTCAAGTTCTTCCAACTTCCACATTTTTTTACCCTAGGGGATTGGGGGCTGGGAGGAGCCTAGGGTGGTAAGCACCGCTGATACTCCCTTCATGAAATTTCGAACTCGGGACCTCAAGTCTGAAAGAGTGAATCGGCGATAAGCAGAGCTGAACATCTTCCTCTCCAACTTCCACTTATTTGTATACTCCATGACCAACGCGTTCCAAAAATATATTAATAATCCATCACAGATAAAGAGTTGTATGTTTCTTGTCCCATACACCATGTTTTCTTCCCCACGCTTTTTGTGTGTATAATCAACTCCTTAGAATTTTCAACATTCAACATTACATGTACAACATTAGCTAAGTAGTATATGAAGCCAATTTATATGGGGCTATAGACAGACTTTGGCACTCGCTGTTGGGCAAATACAAGAATGACTTCCCTGCGGCTCTTAGTATTGAATATCTTTTGGTTCCTTCATTGTGCCTTCACAATAACAAATGCTGATTTGATAAATCGCCTCCCCGGGCAGCCCTCTGATCTTAACTTCAATCAGTATTCTGGCTATATTGTTACTGATGATTATCATGGAAGAGCTCAATTCTACTATTTCGTTGAAGCTCAATCAAAAAATAAACTTTCGTTCCCTCTGACACTTTGGCTTGGTGGAGGTACGTAAGTTCTATTCACACCCTTTGACAATAATGGGTGTTTGAATCTAGTTCTCAACATTGTTTCTACTCATTCAGACAAACTTCTCAATATAGAAGTGCTTGAGTGAAAATGCAAAAATACTTTGTTTAAAGTCTTCCAAATTACTTCTAGAAGCAATTTTTGAGAAGTTGGGGTCAACTTCAGAAAAATTATTTCTCATCCAACTTCAACTTTTAAAAAAGAAGCAGAAATATAACCAATCCCAAACACTCTCAAGAACTAGAAGGGTTTTCTTAAATATAGTATAAGGTGGCCGGTCTTTTTAAATATAATACTCCCTCCGTATCTTTAAAATCTTCCCATTTCAAAAGTAGGTAGAATAAGAATAGTGAAAGATGATATGAATTATTGAGGGTATGATAGGAAAATAGTGGAATAATGTGGTGGAATGTAGGATAAATCCAAAAAAAGTAGTTGTAATAGTGTATTATTTTAAGAATTATTGAGGGTATGATGGGAAGATTTAGAAATTGGAAGATTTTTTTGTTACGGACGAAAAAGAAAAGTGGGAAGATTTTTAAGTTACGGGGGAGTAACTAAATAGAATTCAATGGATAAAATACGACTAAATTAAAGTAAAGTTACAACAAGTACATTGTTATTGTCAATTCTGTGTAATTTTGGACATAAAATAGTCACTGAAGTTAGTATTCCGTATTATATATAGTCATTAAAGTATAAAATCTTACATTCTTGTCCACTACATTTAATAGCATCATATATTTGTCATTGCTTCTAATACGGAGTATCTCTCATTGTTCCCAATATTTTACCTTGAAAATGGAAATATTTTCAAGATAGGAAAGCTCATTTAGCTTATTTTGCCATTTGCCTAGCATTTAGCACACTTTTTTATGTTAAAAGAAAAGCTTATCAATGAGAGAGCCGACGCTCCAAAGGGGAGAAAGCAAAGGAAGCGTATACTGTATAGCCGGTTGTACGGCGCACACCGTAGTATCGCTAACATTTTCATATATTAAGTGAAAATGGTGTTTTTCGTTAAATGAGCATCATATTTATTCTATTGAGTATTGAGAGTGTAATAATGAGTATCGTGATATCAGCTTCATAGTTTAAAATTCACTTTGTTTTATTTTTTTTTTTGTTTTTTTAAAATATCTACAATGAACCTGTATGAATCCAATATGTGATTTAATATTATACTTTTGAAATATGCATGAATGTGACATTTTAAAATGAGTATCACACCAATATCAAATGGGCATACATAAATTACGAAATGAGCATCGAAAAATTCAAAAAACTCATTTAAAAATCTCGACTATGCTCAACTAATTTTCATTCGTGTATGCTCATCACATCAGTAAAAATACATATATATCTACAATGAAATCGCCGTGCGCGGCCGTAGACTCATTGGAAATCGTCATCTATGTATATATATCTACAATGAAATCACCTGTGACTGGAATCACACGCCAATTGTAGGAATTTGGCAGTCTGTCGCTTGTCGATTGTCGTTGAAGGCTACTCGTGACTCGTTCGAGGTTGAACTCGACGGAAATAACGGGATTGACAGAGATATGTCAAAATTCACAGAGGATTATATTTGACAGGAATATGCCAAGTTCGTACCAAAAACATTTTGACACAAGCTATTTGACACTAAATCAATCATCAACCCTTACCAAATCCGTGTCAATTCCGTATTTTTTGTTGTGTATATTTTTATGGAATATAACAAAGTAAGACAATAAATTAATCACTTGTCCTATAGAAGACAATAAATTAATCACTTGTCCTTGTCGTCGTTGTTGTGACATCTTTTTACGCTACTCGTAAACTCCTTGGCTTTCTTCACGTTCGATTCTTCTTCCTCCATTGTTGCTTGGTGTTTGAGCTTGGATATTAGTTTGTTTACACTCCTATCTCCCTTAGGGTGTAAAAACTCTAATTTTTGAGCTCTTATTTTGCTACTTTGGAGCTCTTTCCCGTTTCAGAAACTCGGGTTACTATTCATGTCCTGAAGGTCAACGCCTGGATCTTCTTCCCCTATGGTTGGAATCTGATTTTGAACTTCAATTGTCCCTCTCCTGACCCTGAGAATCAAGGAATACCCGATTTCATCATCATCAAGCACATTTGGTTTTTGGCCGTACTCTTCTTCTCTACTCGATTCGCTAAGTGAATAGCTCTTAGCTCACCTTTGTTAAGGAATCAAGCTCCATGTGTGTGGGGGTGGCTTATTCCTAGCTTCCCCTACCTTTCTCCTTCAGTATGCCGAGAGGGGGTAAGGCCAAGAAGAAGACTACCCCTGTTCCTACTAAGTCCTCTTCGAGGCTCAAAGCTATAGCCCAAGCTAAGAAGGTGGGTGATGCTGCTTTGGACGAGGTCATTCATAGTGAGGAAGACTCTAGCCGTGGAGATGCCACCTACCAACCTACCAATGATATCTCCTCCTCCTCGAATGAACCAATGGAGAACAAAGGGGAGCATAACGAGGTAAACTCTACTCATATCTCTCAAGATATTGTTGAACCATTTATAGGTGGTGACATGGATAAGGTTGTTACTATTATTGAGGAGGTTGTTGTACCTATTAATGTTCTAATGAGATCTCGACTTCTATAGCTATTCCTATTAATGAGGGTTCTATGGTGGGTGTTGTACCTAATTTTGGTTGCTTTATTGAAGTCTCGGATTCTCTACCTAATACTTTTGGAAATGAGGTTGTTAAACCCAACACTGACACTCATGACCATATTGATCTAAACAAGAGTCCTCTGTTTGACACTCCTTATGCCGTGGCTAGTGAGACCTTGACCCCTACTTCTCATGCCGCGGCATCTCCCATTGATACTCCTATACCTGGTGTGACTCCTATGGTTGATAATCCTACTGTAGTTGGGGGTTTGTCACGTATACTTGGTGAGACTCCTATGGGCTCTACATCCCAAGGGATTGTCACTCTTGAGAAGGAAATCTTGAACCCCCAAACTAAGGAAATCACCAGTTTAGACAATGGTGCTAAGAACCCTTCATCTAAGGCCGCGGGTTTAACCAATGAAAGTTCTAAATCCATTCCTACTAATTGGAATGATACCGTTACCTCCCAACCGTGGGTCTCCCTCTTTAAAGATAATAGGGAGCCCAAGAAGGGTATGAAACTTAGGTATACAGAACCGGTTGGCGACTATGTTGATCTCTCGAATAGAACTTTGTCCTCCATGATTGAATTATGGGGGTTTTGTCTTATGGCCTACTTTGATGGGCGCTTTCCCGGGTTCAAATTGATACATGATATGATGAACAAATGGAAGGTTCCTTACTAAGTTAGATCCCATGACAAGGGATGGGTCATATTTAAATTCAAATGCAGGGAAGATAGGACCAATGTCCTCTTGGGTGATTTCCCTTGAAACATCTTTCGGATGATTTCTCCATGGATAGTGATGAATTTCTAAAACTGCCCATTTGGGTCCAATTCCCTCACCTCCCTATGAAAATATGGGAAGAAGACATTATTAATGAAATTGCTTTACGACTAACCCCAATGCCTCCCATCCCTTTACGACTAGCTCAAGCCCTTCTGCGACTCGCAGCAGCCATAACAACCACCGCCCTGCCTCGCCCCATCTCCTCTGGGACTCGCCCAAGCCCCAGCAGCCCCAACAATATAATCACCAGATCTGAAATCGCGCGCGGATGAGATCGATAAGACTATCGAACAAAGACGAGGACTCACTACGAAGAAGAAGGTAGTGCGCATGGAAGAAGAAGGGGAATCTCCCTAGCCCCAAATAGTGTGGTGGTGGCGGATTTGCAACAGTGGCGCGGACTCTGGTAGTTGGAGGAGGCGAGGCGGAGGCAGTTGGTGGAGATGAGAACCGGAGGCTTCCTTCCTTGGTGGTCGGTGGAGGTGAGGCGGAGGTGCCGGTTGTGAGGTCAATCTCCGATGGAGAAAACCTCGATCGTTGTTCGTTAGCTGTGAGGTGAGGCGGAGGTTTGTTTGGAGTGGCGGATGTGCTTTATGCAAGGGTGTTCACATGAACACCCAAAAATAAAATAAAAAACAATAGGAATATGTATATCTGAATTAGAGTAATAATTTGTTTAATACTTCACAGTATTTTAAAGATAAATGTGTAATTTGAACACCCAAAATGCAGATACTAGGTCCACCACTATTTGTTTGTTAGAGTTAGGTTTTTATAATGATCACTTTTTTGTCTAATTTTAAAGGATTAAATACATAGATATTACTAAAACACAACCGTTTTCCTAATGTATGACTAACTATGTTTTTGTATGTTTGGTATGACTACATATCATTAAAATCATGGATGCATGGACGGTATAATTAGGGAAATAACAATAATACCCTTATAATTAAATAAGCATATATTGAGAAAGAGAAGAGTTACGGTTTGAGAACATGCGCCAATAATTATGGAAGTAGATGTTGACTGGTATGCCTAGGCAGTAATTAGAGAACAATAAATAAATGGGCGATAAATTATAACAATAATAGAACATAAATTTACAAATGACAGGAAATATGTAATGATAGTTGAGGACAATAAATAGAATATAGAATATTTATATACGTTGGATGGTAAATCATTGTATTCAATGTATGATCCATGCATAAATGAAATACAGTAAACACAAAAAGGAAGTAAATGTGTAATAGGGCAGTAATTATGCAAGAGGGCAGTAAATGCAGGTCATATATCATACGACCGTCCCACCATGAGCATCATACTCCCACTCCCAAAACGACGTAATTTTGGGCAATTAAAAAAAATTGCGTGAACAGTACACACGTGTACGGTGACTTTTTTTGTCCCAGTAACATGGAGGTGTAACTCGCGTGTAAAGATATGTAACTCACATTATTGATGAATGTAACTCCAGCCCATCCAAAATGTAATTTGTCAAATATTGATTTCAATGTAAACAATGAAAATAGAGAGTCTAATTGCACAATTGATTTAGGTAAAACATGAATATGTTTTGTTTTTAATGTCATGGCCACAAAAAATAATGTATTAAAAAGGATCATTTTTATTCAATAGCAGGGGTTGATTTTTTGATGTGACTCGTGTTATTATCAATGTAACTCGCGTTGATGGCCAATGTAACTTATGTGTATACAGAATGTAACTTGTTGGAACCAAGCACTCCAGCCTAGCTAGTTGCGAGGTTACCATGCCTAGTGGGAGGTCTCGAGTTCGAATCTCGCTAGGCACACACAAGGATTTGAAACTCAATGGAGTGAGTTTCAGCCCTGATTACTCCAGGTTCCCCCCAACCCCCCTCCCCCAGACCCCCCTGGAGTTAAAAAAAAAAAGAATGTAACTTGTTGGAAAATTGAACAATGATTTTTTTGTTTGAGATATTATAAACATTGATTTCAATGTAAGCAATGAAAAATTGATCCTAATAGCTTAATTACTTTTTTTTAAATAGTGAATGTGTTTTATTTTTAATATTAGGGCAATAAAATGATATAGCAGGGGTTTATTCCGTGGTGTAACTTGCATACATTAATATTGAACTCGTGTACATTAAGATGTAACTTGCGCAGAAGAAGATGTAACTTCATGATATATTATCAAGAGAAAATAACTTTAAATAATACCAACTATCTTCAATGAACCAATAATAATACGTACTTTAGAAATAACTTTTAATAATACCAACTATCTGAATGTGAACCAAAAATAAAATAGAGACACTTTTCTACAAGAAATTCAGCCACTTAAGACATCAAAAACTAAGATCAAATCACCAAATAATTTATATTTGAAACTATGATCACTTATTTGTTATTTTAATATTAGTTTTTGATGAATTGAATAAATGAATTTTTAGTGAAAATTTGCTATATATCACTTTTGATAGATAATCAAATAGTTGGTATTATTTAAAGTTATTTCTCAAGTTGGTGTTATTCTTGGTTCATGGAAGATAGTTAGTATTATTTAAAGTTATTTTCCCTATTATCAAATGTGACATCAAGGATCAAAATAAACAAACTCAATGTCTTAAAACCCTCTAAAAACATATAAACGTGATAAAAAATATTTCTCAGAATAAAAAAAAGTGTATGAATAAGTACTAAGACAGAAACAAAAAGTAACTAATTTATTTTGAAAGGATGAATATTTGATCACAAAATTGTAATACACACATTTCAATGTTCCTAAATTAAAAAAATCATTTGGAAACATGATAGCTTTTGATAATGGAAACATTAAAAGTAAAAAAACGAAAAAGATAAAAAGAAAGAGGGTGGGGGAGTGGGAGTGTGCAACTCGATGGGAAAAACTTTTGGATAAAGACAAAAAAATAGAAAACAAACCATGCAAGCGGGGGGAATGCAAGTGAGCGAGATTTAGTTAGAAAACGGTACCGTATTTAGACCGGTATACCATGTGCATGGTATACCGGTCGTACGGTATAATTTGCCCAGTAAATGTGACTAGGTGGCAATAACTTTAGTTGTACCTAAAATTACAAATACGCAGGTACATACTTGTATTAGGAAGAGAATCGATCGTGGGTTCCAAAAATAAAAAATACAAGCACATACTAATAATTGAGTTTTTTTTTCCGGATTAATGCTTTTTAATTAAGTATTTACGGAATTAATGTTGAGTTAAAACTATTTACCAATATACTGCTGAGATTAACCTGGGTTGGGCAAAGTCGCCAAACCGTTTGGCGATTTATAAGTCGCCAAACCATTTGGTGACTTTGGCTTCCGCTAGTCACTCGCGCAAGAAGAAAGCTACGTACATATTGAGTATGCAGATGGTAGCCAATAGGAACTCATCCAATATTTAAAAATCCCTCTTTTTTTTAAATTGTTGTAACTTTTATATTCATAATCTGATTTTCATAAAAGTTATATCAAAATTTATAAATTTTTATTGTCTTTCATATGACACCAATATTCGATATATAAAAATTAAAATTATTTTTAAAATACAATGAGTAGATGTTTTTAGGTTACAAACTTTTTTAGGTAGATCTATGTTCTAAAATTAAGATCTAGGAATTTTTTAGAGCACATTTGATAACGTTGAAATTCACTGAATCGGCTATTTAGGTTGAAATTTGTGAAATTCTGATTGAAGTGGCTGGACTGGCTGACTGAAATTTCGTAGATCTATGAAAAATTATATCTACAATAATATTTATTAATATCATATTTTCAGATTTATTTATATTTTTATGTATTTAATATTGGTGTCATATGAAAGGTAATACTCCATAAAAATATGAATTTTGATATTCTTTTATAAAAATGAAATTATAAATAAAAAATTATAACAATTTAAAAAATATAATATTGGTGTGATATGAAAGATAATAACTCCTTAAAAAAAGATAATGACTATTTTTCATATAATTTTTTATTTATCTTATTAATAAAAATTATTGTAGATATAATTTTTCATAGATCTACGAAATTTCAGTCAGCCAGTCCATCCACTTCAATCAGAATTTCAACAAATTTCAGTCAGCCAGTCCATCCTAGATCTTAATTTTAGAACATAGATCTACTTAAAAAAGTTGGTAGCCTAAAAACATCTACTCATTGTATTTTAAAAATTATTTTAATTTTTATATATCGAATATTGGTGTCATATGAAAGACAATAAAAATTTATAAATTTTGATATAACTTTTATGAAAATCAGATTATGAATATAAAAGTTACAACAATTTAAAAAAAAGAGGGATTTTTAAATATTGGATGAGTTCCTATTGGCTACCATCTCCATACTCCATATGTACGTAGCTTTCTTCTTGCGCGAGACGCGAGTGACCAGCGGAAGCCAAAGTCGCCAAATGGTTTGGCGACTTATAAGTCGCCAAACAGTTTGGCGACTTTGCCCAACCCAGGTTAATCCCAGCAGTATATTGGTAAATAGTTTTAACCTAACATTAATTCCGTAAATACTTAATTAAAATGCATTAATCCGGAAAAAAAACTCCTAATAATTAAGGAAGCGGTTACCATATTAAATTAAGGTAGATTCTATGGTACCCAAAAGGTACCATACCTTTGTCCACATGGACCAATGAGAATGTAGTTGTTGAATTATTTAAATCTAAATTAAAAATGATAATGTGATGTGGTCCAATCAAATGAATGGTAGGTACGGTACCCCATTTTTTGGAAAGGTAACGGAGTTGTCACCTTAAATTAACTACTTGTTTTTAGGAATATTAATTCATAGACACCCTAATAAATTGGTAACTAGTAGAAGAGACGTGCATATATCACTTAGTCATTTATTGGGAACAAAAATTCTATTGTTACACATTTTTCATACACGCTAGTACACACTCATGTACACAAAAAACCCTACACAAACATGAATGTGTACTAGCGTGTATGAAAGTGTGTACCTCAAGCTTGATTGGGAAAGACATATGGTTTTAGTCATATGGTGGATAATTTTCTCAAATGATCATATTTTTGTCCAGTGGAGGAGTAATATTTATGTAATTGTTTCAAATAATAATGGTCGTGTATATATAGTTAGGTTGATTTAAAATGGGAAAAATACTCTAATATAACTAAAACTCATGAGTTTTCTAAGAATATGACCATATATGTTTTTAATCTTATGTATGACCAAATGGAACATCACATACATGGCCGGCTGGAATGATGACAATAAATAACCAATAATGACCTTATGCATATACGAACTAATTCCTTATTTTTAGGAACAATAATAATTAATGCAGCCTAATGTATGCTTTAATTTCTCTTCGTCGTAAATAAGGATATGCGGCAAAAGAAAGTAATTATTTGAAAAGCAATGGCCGATAGTTTAGGTAATAAAAAATGGGCATTAACATAAGGCAGTGAATAACATAGGCAGTAAAAACCTTTCAAAAAAACATAGGCAGTAAAATAATGAAATATTTAGTAATAAATGTTGACGTGTGAGCATAGGCACTAAATAGAGGACAATAAAGAAATGGGCATTAACATAAGGCAGTGAATAACATAGGCAGTAAAAACCTTTCAAAAAGACATAGGCAGTAAAATAATGAAATATTTAGTAATAAATGTTGGCGTGTGAGCATAGGCACTAAATAGGAGACTATAAAGAAATGCGCATTAACATAAGGCAGTGAATAACATAGGCAGTAAAATCCTTTTAAAAAAACATAGGCAGTAAAAATAATGAATTGTTTGGTAATAAATGTTGACGGGTCAGCATAGGCACTAAATAGAGGACAAAAAGAAATGGGCATTAACATAAGACAGTAAATAAGACGAACAATAAAATAATGAATTATTTTATTCGTTAGTAAATATTTGCATTCTATATATGATCCATAAATGAAATACACAGTAAATATAAAAATATTAGTAATTTTTTAAGAGGGTAGTAAATGTGTATGAGGGCAGTATTGTTTGTAGTATGTAGACGTAATGGTTAAGGGAGAAAATTAATGAAAATACTTACCTTCTATTAATTACTTCCTTATTTTTAAAATATTCCATTTACTAAAGAGCCGGTTATACGCACGGCAGTTACAAAGCCGATTGTTATGCTGAATCGTGATAAGGAGATCGCCACAATTTTAGGAAGGAAAATATATTTCATTAATTGCATCCAAGGATAGTAATGGTATTTAGCTTAAAATTCAAAACACACGTGCATGGGATAAAGGCATCTGCAATCATAGATTTAGAATAAAACTGAAGCAGTCATATGATGGGAAGCACATCCAGTTTTAGTTATACGCGTGATAATTTTCTCATTTAAAATGCATGGGTAATAATGAAGACGGCATTTTTGCAGCATACGGGTGTTCATCTTTTGGTGTCGGCGTTTTTGCGGAAAATGGTCCATTTAGGCCCGGGAAAGATGGCAACTTGACAAAGAATGATTTTTCTTGGAATTTAGGTACGTACGTACTTTGAATTTCTCTTTCTTTAAAGTAATTATACTAAATGGGACTAAAACATGGTTAAAACTCCAAAATAGGACTTGAAGTTTTAAATTGCTTAAATAAGACTCCAGATTACATTTTTACCCCCAATCCCTAAATCACCTTTCCCCCAATTCATCTTCATCGATCGCGAGACATGCGATTCTTGCAACTCAGCTGCCATGGACTAAACTCGGCCGCCATGGATCACAACTCGCAGCTGCTTTCTCGACGCCGGCTGCACCTCTTCAATGATTCTTGCAGCGCCGCAGCTCCGCCATCGACGAGCTCTGCTGCAATTGTTCCAGTCAAGTCAGGTATGTACTCTTCTTCTTCTTCTTCTTCTTCTTCTTCTTCTTCTTCTTCTTCCTCCTCTTTTTTCTTCTTCTTCTTCTTCTTCTTCTTCTGATCTTCTTCTCCTTCTTCTCAACCTCTTCAATCTTCTGCTACTCTGTTATCTTGTTCTTTAATTTGGACTTCAGATTTTTTAATAAAGCAGGAATGCCACTTGATATGCAAGAATGTCACTTAATATGCATAATGGCACAATAATGACAATTTCGTATAGAAATATGACATTCTCAATATGGCATTTTCAAATAATGTAATGACATAAAAGTGACATTTTTTAAAAAATACCCCATGATTATGCCATTCTCTCCTTCAAAAGTGACATTTTCTGGAAACATTAGTCAATGCATTTGAGAATCAAAGTAATCAAAATTGATAACAAGAAATTCAAGTTTAGATATAATAACTCCATTTGAAACTTTCAAAAATAAAAAAATTAGAAAAGTTCTGATTGACAAAATAAAAAAAGCAGAGAACTAGGAAGAAGAAGAAGAAGAAGAAGAAGAAGAGATTACCTGCCTGCTGGTCGCCGATGAGTGCAGGGCTGGTAGCCGATGATGCAGGGCTTCGACACATGGTGCTGCGGTGCTCTGGAGCAATATCGATGGAGGTTGTTGTTTGTCGGTGATGTGCATCGCTTTTTAACTAAGGGTATTCTTGTCAGATTACCTCTTGATAGTCCTATTTTTGTTAAATAAAACATATTAGTCCTATTTTTGCAATTCTACCTTCTTTTAGTCCTATTTAGGTAAATCTCTCATTTCTTTATCATATATATATATCGATCTCTGGATTCTAAATTATTCTTCTCGCTCGTCCCTAAGCTAGCCTTTTAATTAATTTGGACGCCATATTTAATTAGTTATTTAATACTCCATGCACTTAATTACTGGGAACTACCGGCCTGCAGCGTCCAATATGCTCTACGTAGACTCTCCCATTGGGACCTCATTTTCCTACTCCAATTCAACTTCAGACTATAAACACTGGACTGATACCAACACAGGTCCGTAATCATATCGATTGGTTACGTTACAAAGTCATTAACATTGGTTCACGTCAAATATATACTGTATGCATGGCTAGCTAATTACTTTACCATTTGACCTGGCCTCTTGCATGCATGCAGCAAATGAAAATATGAAATTCCTTCTTAAGTGGTTTGAGAAATTCCCTGAATACAGCAATCTAGATTTCTATATTGCGGGTGATAGCTATGGAGGTAATTCAATTAATTAAACAATCAATATATGTATATATTATACTGTATACTGTATCTCTATATACTACGTATAATATATTCCCTGGCCTTGATTTATACATATAAATATTCTTGAAATTTAGCAAGTGTTGAACTTACGTACGATCCGAATTGCATGGTTACGTACGTTTTAGGTCACCTAGTCCCTCAACTCGCTACAAAAGTACTCGAGTACAACACAAAACCACATGTGAGACCGATCAAACTCAAAGCCATTGCAGTGAGTCTCTTCCACGCAATATATGCATCCTTTTATTTTGTTTTATTTTATTACGTACTCCCTCCGTAACAAAAAAATCTTCTCACTTTTCTTTTTCATCCGTAACAAAAAAATCTTCTCATTTCTAAATCTTCTCATCATACCCTCAATAATTCTTAAAATAATACAATATTACAACTACTTTTTTTGGATTTATTCTACATTCCATCACATTATTCCACTATCTTCCCATCATACCCTCAATAATTCATATCCTCTTTCACTATTCTTAAACTACCTACTTTTGAAATGGGAAGGTTTTTATGTTACGGAGGTAGTATATACAAAGTACTTCATTATATAAATAAATAGCTAGAGTAATAATGCATTCTATTTCATTATTACTCCCTCCGTCCCATAAATAGTTCACACAAGGATTTGAATTGGAGTTTAAGAAAGTGGGAATAAAGTGGAAATGTATGGTTGTGGTTGATGAGTAAGAAACAAATAAATGAATAGTAGCCACACAAAACTTTTCAAAAATGGAAATGAGAACTATTTTTTGGAACGACGCAAAAAAGAAATTGGGAACTATTTTGCGGGACGGAGGGAGTATATTAGTATTACTACCTCTGTCCCTTTTCATTTAGTCATTTTTTGACTTTTCCGGTCAAAGATAATAAACTTTGATCCATTATTTTACCTAATAATATACTTATGTGAAACTTAATAAATTTACACTTTTATGATACTCCCTCTGTCCCGCTAAGATTGTCTCAGTTCCTATTCACTTGGTCAACACAAATCACTCTTAATCTCTTTCTTTATGTATGATATCAATTTTTTGTCAAATTTGATTGTTTCTGCGACTTTGTAAAGCTTTTAATGTAGTTTATGAATATGTATGTTTTTTTTTAAATAATTTGAGTGCGGAAAGGGATCTGTTTGCTGAAAAATAACTTTTGAAAAAGTCATCACCATTTAATTTGGAAATTATTGAACGGTTTTTTTCTAAAAATAATATCGCCGGTCAAATGTAGATTTCGCTGCATTTTCAGTATTTTTTAACAAAAAGCAACACTATTTAGCCAACACTATTTTGACCAATATGACCATGTATAAATATATAATCGATCAAAAGATAACATTATTACTTGAAAAATAGTGTTGGCTAAATAAAAAGAGACAGAGGGAGTATGACATAAAGAGAAATTTTCTTCTCAAGCCATCCTGACCGAAACCCCGGCCCGTCCGGCCGCCTCCACTTGAGGTGCTTTCGAGTGGATGGAACTTTTTGATGCAATTTTGTGAGCATGTGAGTCATCACAAAAGTTGATTATTTCAGCAAAAATTAACCTTAAAATTCAATCTCAAAGTCAATAAAATAAATTATTGAAAAACATTGAATTTTGATATATATACTTCCCCCGTTCTTTTTTAGTTGCAACATTCCTTTTTTCACGTTTGCCAACGCACAACTTTGATCGTTATTATATTTAATTATGTATTAGTAAAAAAATGATTACAAATCAGATTATGAAACTTAATAATGAGACGAATTCAACCATATTTTTCAAAAATAATAATTCACATTAATTCATAAATAAAATGTAGTCAAAGTAGAGGACATAAATAGTGTATAAATTGCAATGTTGCAACTAATGCGATACAGAAGATAGTATTAGCGTAGTGTTTTTTAATAATTTATTTAACTCAATTTCCGATTGAAATTTAATGTGACAAGAAATTTTGTAAGCATAATCTACATTTCATGAAGAACATATTTAAAAACTTTTATAAAAAAATTTCATCGGGAAGCACCTAAATTGTTTCGGCTAGGACGTCATGTGAAGAAATTAAAATTCCACGCATACATACATATATACAGCTGCATCCATGCATGTTCGTCAATTACTTAGTATTATTAAAATGAGAGATTTTCCTTACATGGCTTTTTTTTTTCAAAATAGGACCAATTAGTCTAAACATTCTTAAAAAGAACTTTTTATGTGTGATTCGACCAAAATACCCCCACAGTTGTGGTCCGAAAAAAGCAAGAGTTTTGGCAGGCGGCAGGCAGCAGTGGGGGTATTTTGGTCCAATTACACATAAAAATCCTATTTAAGAATGTTCAAACTAATTTGGGTAAATCTCCCAAATTAAAGATGATGTATATATTTGTGGCATGGATGCAGATTGGAAACCCATTTCTTGACATCCGGATAAGTCTAAGTGGGGTTGAAAACATGTGGCATCGGGGGATGATTTCGGAGGAGATGGTGAGCATGCAGAAGAGTGTTTGTAGCATGGCAAGGTACTATACTGAGTACGCGAGTGGGAAGAGGACTAAAGCCTGCCATGATATGATGCTCAAGTTATTACAGGAAAATGGGGATGAGCTTGATGTTGACGATATGCTCATGCCAATATGTCTCACCACTGATGATAATTCTTCTTCCTCACCTCAACATTATTATGTACGTACGCACGTCGATCACCTCCCCATCCATATACTGCATGCATACTTATTAACTCTTTCACTTGTATATTCCACCCACTTTCAAGGACCTACCTAGCTAGCACGTAGTATATTTATACAGTTTATTTATGCAGCATTGAATTGGGTATATATATATAGCTAGTACGCGTGTGCATCTTATCTGGAAGATTTTTTGGCACGTCAAATCCATGCCATAATCCAAATCTAGCATGTGGTGTATGTAACCCTCTAATTTTTTTTCTAAAACGTGATAAAAAGTAAAAAAAAAAAGGGGGGGGGGGGGGGGGGTAATAGTTAGAATTTTTATACTATCGTATGAATTACGAATATTAAATAAGAGAGAATAGTGTATGACGTTAAGAGATAGATAAAAAAATGCGGACAGACTTCCACCATCCCAACCCACTATTATCCCTATATATGGACTAAAGGGTCAAATAGGCCCTTGAACTAACTTAAAGTGTTCAATTAGCCCCTTAATTATATAGAATGTTAGGCCCGGTCATCGTCAATTGAGGCGATTCCCGGTGGAATTTTTTGATGAAGTTTTTTGAGCATCTTCTTCATTAAGTATAGTTTACGCATACCAAATTTCTGCTAAAAATTCAATCGGGAAGGCAATCAAATGATTTTTTGAAGATAACTACGTAGTTAAACAGCGTAGTACATTTCGGAAAATCATTTGACTGCCTTCCCGATTTAATTTTTAGCTGAAATTTGATATGGGTAAACTAGACTTAATGAAGAAGATGCTCAAAAAATTTCATCAAAAAATTCCAACGGAAACCTCTCCAATTGGCGATGGCCAGGCTGAACCTCCTATATAAGGGGCTAATTGAACACTTTAAGTTAGTTCAATGACCTATTTGACTTTTTAGCCCTATATATCTATACTACGTGTAACTTCTTATGACGACCTTATTCCATTTTGCCATAGATTTGGAAGTATACCTCATATATAAATATAGGCGATGATGATCCGAATTCTAGTAAGAATCAAAATTTAAAAGAGCTTTTTTAAATATTACGTACAGTACAAAATACTTCGTAAAACTTATTAACAAAATTATGATTAAAAAAAAAAAGAGAACATAATTTATGATTACTAGAGTTTACTATTATAATCAGGAAGACTACATGTTTTGGTCTACCATCTCTCTTCGTAGAGTGTAATACTTTGTTTTAATTAACTATTCACACTTATTTAATTGTATTGTATGTATTGTTGCTCAGTTAAATGCATTAACCATCTCACATCATGTTTAGTCTCAACCATTCATAGTTTTTTTATTTTCTAATTATGTTTGACATACAAATTGAAGATATTTCTCTTCATCAATTATACGAAGATCAATGAATTTTCTTCATTAAATGAAGACGTACGTACTATATATCTTGCTATTGGTATCTCTCTCGTATATGTGTGCAAAAAATACATTATGATTACACTTTCTGTATAAAAATTTAACATATCACACGCATAAACTTAACAAAGCTTATACACTGCACTTATTTTAGCCTACCTATGATGATTTATCAATTTATTTATATTTCTTCTTTGTTTTGCTTTAATTTCCTTTCCGATTTCTTTTTTTTTTTTTTTTTTTTTTGGGGGGGGGGGGGGGGGGGGGGGGCTCTTGGGAAACGGTAATTTGATACTCCGTGCTCTCTGATTATGACTACACCTTAATTGGCCGGCAGTTCTAGCTAGACTCCGGCCAGTTGTCCTTAAATTCGATCCTTGCGAATGTGATGAGATTTAATTATTGATAAACTTTTTGATTAACTCGATCAAGTTTAATATGTTAAGAATTAATTTACGCAACACGAAAAACAATTAAAGAACACACGAAAATTTGATAATCCAGTTCGCCACGAATGACTACGACTGGGGTGCTACCAAGCCAGAAATATTATTGTTATTTTCGGATCCACACATGATTACAATAGAGAGAGCTTGTATTTATAGAGAAGTAAATCCTAACCCCAAGGCAACTAGGATGCGTTTCCAAAAATAAATTAAGAAATGTGTTTCCAAAAATAAATTAAGAAAAGCTTGGTTATACAGTCTCTAACACCTTACAATCTCCTACCTTAATTGAGACTGCCTTCTTCAAATCCTTCCTTATTAGCATGGTAGCGCCGGCCTTCAAATTCAAGTGCCAAGGCCAATTGAAGCTATGCAAAGCTTCAATTTCTCCAAGGTTACCACCTTAGTAAACATGTCTGCTGGATTCTCACTCCCACGGATCTTCACAAGCTCCAATGCCACTATCTCCAGAAGATGACGGATGTAGTGACTAGTGATACTTCAACCGAATGTGTTTGGTTCTCTTATGAAAAACTGAGTTGTTTGCCAAGAAAATAGCACTTTGACCGTCGCTGTAAAGAATGTTATTCTTGTACTCCTTCCCAAGTTCCCCAAGTAGATTCTGAAGCCACACCATCTCCATACTTGCCTCCGTAATGGCCACATATTCAGCTTCAGTGGTAAATAATGCAACAGTCTTCTGCAGCTGCGAAAGCCAGGAAACTGTCGTTCCACCAAATGTAAAAACATACCCGGTGGTGCTCCTCGATCCATCCGAGTCATTCAATGCCAGGTCTGCAGCAACATGTCCCAGCAGCTCTACATTCTTTCCATCAAAACACAAAGCATTAGAAGCAGTACCTTTCAAATACCTCATGATTCACTTCACAGCTTCCCAGTGTTCTTTCCCGGGATCTCCCATGTATCTGCTCACTACTCCCACCGCATGTGCAATGTCTGGCCTCGTGCACACCATAGCGTACATGATGCTACCAATTGCCGAGGCGTATAGGACATTCTGCATTTGAGCACGCTCATCATTGTTCTTTGGCGAGTCTTCCTTGCTAAGCTTGAAGTGACTACCCAGTGGTACACTTGTTGCCTTTGCATCTTGCATTCTGAATCTTTCCAGAACCTTCTGAACGTATTTTGCCTGTGAAAGATACAATCTGCCAGCTGCCTCATCCCTCTCGATTCGCATGCCCAAAATTTGCTTTGCCTCTCCAAGATCCTTCATGGAAAAACGTTCTGACAACTGTTTCTTCAGCTTCTCAATCTCCTTTGAACTAGCTTCTGCAATCAACATATCATCAACATATAATAGCAAGATAAGATAACAATTCTCGGTCTTTTTGTAGTAGTAGCAATTGTCAGTGTGGCATCTCAAGAAATTTATGTCCCTCATGAAACCATCAAATTTCTTGTACCATTGCTTCAGTGCCTGCTTCAACCCGTATAAGCTCTTCACTAGCTTACATACGAGATTCTCACTGCCCTCTGCCACATAGCCCATCGGTTGCACCATGTAAATCTCATCATTCAGATCATCATGAAGGAATGCAGTCTTCACATCTATCTAATGTAACAACAAATTCTCTGTAGCAACTAACCCCAATACCATCCGAATAGTAATTAGTTTCACAACTGGAGATAGAGAATATGTTAGTATAATCAATACCATAACGCTGCTCGAATCCCTTGACAACCAGCCTAGCTTTGTAGCGTTTACTACCATCTGCCTCCTTCTTGATGCGGTAGACTCACTTGCAGTGCAAAGCCTTCTTTCCTCTGAGTAGCTCAACTAACCTCCAAGTATCATTGGATGTTAGAGATGCCATCTCATCATCCATTGCAAGTTTCCACTTGCCCTTGTCATCAACCCGAACTGCCTCACTTTAGTTCACCACCATCAGTAAGCAACAAATAGAGATTTTGTACCCTTTTCGACAATTTTAAGAGGCTCATCATCAGCAAGATACACCTCTCCAAAATTTCCGGGAGTATACTGTTCCATCACTTTAGCATTACCACATGAATGGAACTAAGCTCCAGAATCCAGAATCTATGACTCCAACAGACTGCTCACGCTCAGGATCAGGAGATCATCGCCAGATGATTCTGCCGTTGCATTGGCATATGTCTTCTTCTTCTTCTTCTTCTTCTTCTTCTGATCCTTGATTTGCTCCTTCCATTGGCTCTTGAAGTGTTCGTACTCCTCACAATTCCAGCACTTGTTATGACTTCAGTCCTTCTTGCCCTTGCTGTTTGACTTGGATTTGGATCTTGATCTATCCCGATTTGACTTTGACTTCGACTTCGTTCTGTCCCGGTTTTCTGTACTCAACGCCGATCCAAAAGTCAAGCCTGATTCCTTCCTGCGAATTTCTTCGCTGACCACCAGATTTCTAACTTCATCGAATTTCAACTTCTCCTTCCCTGCTGAAGCGCTGACTGCAGTCACCATTCCGTTCCAGCTTTATGGGAGAGAAGACATCAGAATTAGGGCATGAATCTCGTCGTCGAATTTGATCTCAACCGCGCTCAAC